CTACATCCAGCAGTTGTGGTGAGGTGACCACTGCAACCCTTGCAACCACTGCAGAAAACACAACTCCAACCACCTTTCGGTCCATCAGTGGATTCGCTCTGCCATCCGCGAGTCACAACAACCAACCTCTCCTATAGGCTTCCTATTTTTGAAGCTTCCGCCACCGCCTTGTGCCACTACTACTGGTATGAATACGTATAGTATAGCAGCTCCCGGATGCATGGATAGTAAATTGATAGAGAAATAGAGATGGAGATATAGATATAGAAACAGAGGACAATAGAGGTAGGGATAGAGAAGGAGAGAGAAAGTGAGAGAGAACAGGGAAAGAAAGCCAGTCCGAGTCATAACAGCAGTTCATTCAGGGTTGCTTGTCGCTAATGGCTCAAGCGAGCACGGGCATGAAGCACCCACGGCAGACTTGATCTGTGAGAAGGACGACAATCTCTTGATTTGAGGAATCAAGGTAAGATATCCTCGAAGTTTCAATGTGTAAGCCTTGCAGTTTTGGCATCCTAGCACGAGCAATCTTTCTGTCTATCTTTCCATCTATCGATCTATTTATCAATCTATCAGATGCGGGCGTGTATAAATACATTACCGGTAGATACCAGTAGTACCGCACAAGGCGGTGACGGAAGTTTCCAAAATAGGTGAGTTGTTATGATGCATGGATGGCAGAGCGAATCCACTGATGGACCGAAAGGTGGTTGGAGTTGTGTTTTTTGGAATGGTTGCAGTGATCACCTCACCCGCAACTGCTGAATGTAGTGTGGTGTAGTGTAGTTGTCGAGCCTACTTTTCGACCCTCCGGAACCCCAAAACATTGGGAAAAAGGGGACCGCGACTTTTCTAACTTTTTGCGCACCTGCATCTTCTTTCTTATGACTCTTAGCTCTTCTCTGATTTTTGTTCTTCTTCTTTTCTCTTCTCAGACTCTTCCCCCACCTGCTTTTTCATCTGGCAATATTATCGGAAATTTCGATTGAAATAATTTCAACAAGAACGTCCCTCTCTTGGTAGTAACGCACAACATACTTATCTCTTGATCGTACATCATTCCGCAATATTTGACAATATGCCAGATGCGTACTATAGAAAATACTGAGGGGAGAGAAGGCCATGAAAGCTACCCAAAAGCAGTGGTGTTGCCTTACCGCTTCCCAAAATCCTGGATGCCTAGTAGTCCAGGGGATGGCCGGGGGAGTAACAATATGTAGACATGCAACTGGCAAAATTTGTCACAAATTGCAACTGCTCAAAAGGCACATGCAACGGAACACTTGGTTGTCCTGAGCACAATCGCAGGGTCATCCTAAGTCATCCTATATTGATTCAACAAATGGTTTCAACCTCGTGGTGGAACATTTCTGACATGAGAGATCTTTGAAGCCATGCGCCAACTTGGTGGAGGCATTGAGCACGACACCCTCAACTACAGGTGCATGCTTTGGTCTCACCCAGTCCAGACCACTGTTGGCAAGGACTCGTCAATATGTTTGAGGCCGGCTCTTGATTTCATTTTTGTGCATGTGGACGTGTTTTCAACCACTTGGGATTGCCGCCATTTCACGTTTTGATGCCCTGAAATCAATCTGATTTTTGACAATGCGGAGTTCGTTCCTGCTGTTACTGCGGATGTCAGATGTGCACGTGCGTTCAGCAGTGTTTGTGTGCATGTGTTTGTTTGATGTGTGTGTGTGTATTTGTCTTTGTTTGATGTGCGTGTATGTGTGTGTGTGTGCGTGTGTGTTTGTTTGGTGTGTGCGTGTGTCAGTGTCAGATGTGCGGCATGTGGGCAGCTGTGAAATTGTGTGAACTGTTGTGAAGGCTTGGACTGCAACCTGTGATGGAGATTGCTAGCAACGCTGATGCTTTCCAGCCAATTGATGGCGCCGGCCGTGCATGCCGAGGAACAAATGCAACAGATACCCAGCCAGCTTACTACGTGAGCTACAATCCATCAGAGGTGGCTACTTTGGCAGCTTGCAAGGCCATGTGTGTGGGAACACCAGAATGCCAGGGGATTCAGTTCAGCATTTACGGCTGCCAGGTTTGGACACGACCAGAAGGAATTGAAAACACGGCAATTTCTCCTGCCCTTTCATGTCTCAGATATTCGCCGTTTCGTTTGATAGATGGCTTTGAAGATCGCTCTTGCAGAGGCCAAAATTCCACGGACACCAATTTGAATTTTTCGTACTCACAGGTTTCTTCGGCACAGGTATGTCAACAGAACTGTTTGCAGACCCCAGAGTGCACAGGCATTGAGTATGACAGGAGTACTTTGGGCTGCAAGGTTTGGACTACGAGTATTCTGGCAAGTGTGGCTTCAAGCAGTAAGACATGTATGAGGTACGAACCTTTCTTTGAAGCTGACGGGGGGATGAGCCGATCCTGTAGCGGACCTGGCGGTGAGAGTTGGCCAAGCTACTACCTGGTCTACAATCATACGTGGACCTCGGGTCCCTCCATTGATGAGTGCAAAGAGAGATGCCTCGCAGTATCTGGATGCCGTGGCCTTGAGTACACAAAGACATCATGCAAAGTTTGGACCCGGACAATCCAATCCACTGTTTTGCGACAAGGCTCTCTTTGTCTACGCTTTGGTTCTTTTGATCCTCACGAGTTTTTGGATGCATTTGTTGCTGTCCACGGTGGCTTGAACAGGGCATGCCGAGGAAGCAACGCGAGTGACATAGATGCAAGCTACTTTACTTCAGTCGGCCCAGCACGAGCAGGAAGTCTTGAGGCTTGCAAAATCCTTTGCATGAGAACTTCTGCTTGCAATGCAATACAGTTTAGTTCATCTGAATGTCAACTCTGGACTCGGAACGAAGGTGTCGAAGCGACAGTTTGGACAGACGGTGTTCAGTGTCTGAAGCTTCAACCATTCAGAGACTTTGATGGAAGCCAAGATCGCTTGTGCGAAGCCACATCTCAGCCAGATGGGGTCGCAGTTGGCTCTTTGAGAGACTGCCAAGATCTTTGCCACGAGTCTGTCAGGTGCACAGGAATAAATTTCAATAATGGAATCTGCCATGTTTTCACTGGCGACTTCTCAAGTCGTTCAAGCCCAGGCAGCCGATGCTCCAGTTTCCAACCGTTTGTATCTGTGGATGGAGGTGTTGATAGGGATTGCAGAGGTGCGCATGAGGATGACATCAGCGAAGAGTACTTTGTACGAGCCCAAGTCCCCACACTGGAGGACTGCAAACTGCATTGCCTCTTCCATTCCACTTGTATCGGTCTGGCATTCTCAAGTGGGGATTGCAAACTGTGGACACGGAGCGATGGAATTCGGTTCTCCAAGTTTCAACCTGGCTCTACATGTTTGCGATATCATATGTCAGATAGCTTGCTGGTTGACTGCGCTTTTGAGCCAGTCGATGGAGGAAAGGATCGTGCATGTCGTGGAATGAACGAGAGCGACAACCTCGACAGTCACTACACAGTGCATTTGACATGGCCAGAGAATTCATCGGTCGAATCCTGTCAAGATCTTTGCCAAAATACTTTGGGATGCAAAGGCGTCGAATTTCGACTTGGCGCATGTGAGATCTGGATGCTAACAGAAGGAATCCAGGCCTCGGTGTGGGCTGCTGGTCGAACCTGCATGCGGTATGAACCCTTCCAGTCAGTGGATGGCTTCAATGACCGGGTGTGTCGTGGAAGCAATGCAACAGATTCCCTGGACGAATACTTCGACATCTATTCACCCCTTCAGGCTCCGACCTTGGAAGCATGCCAGAACTTGTGTTCCACAACGTCTGGATGTCAAGGCATTGAGTACAGAGGATGGTGTGAGGTTTGGACGCGGCCAGATGGAATAATGGCAACGGCCTTTTCACCTGGTTCTCAGTGCCTCACATACAAACCCTTTGTCGGAGTTGATGGCGGCTCGAATCGAGCTTGTCGCGGGTCTCATCCCGGAGACACATGGAGCAGCTACTACGAACTTTATGGTCACCAGGGTCAAGATCTTGTTGAGTCTCTAGATCAATGCAAGTCGCTTTGTATGGCCAATCCAAGCTGCAAAGGAATCGAATATCGTGACGGTCGCTGCGAAGTTTGGACACGTCGTGCTGGCATAGGCTCTTCAGCCGCAAGCACAGGTTCCATGTGCCTTCGCAAAGGTGTGGCAAACGGAGCCGGCATCGGACTTGTCGGACTTGATGCCTTCGAAGCTGTTTTTGGTGTAAACAAGACATGCCTTGGCTCCAACTCCACCGATCCCCCCACTGTTTGGGGCCCAGAGAGTGTTGCAACAGAGGAAGAGTGCCGGGCTCTTTGCATGTCAACTCCTGGATGCACAGGCATTGATTTCAGTTTCGAAGGATGCAGAGTTTGGACATATGAAATTCAGAGCTCAGCGCCTCAGGTGGGGGAGAAATGCGTGGAAGATCGTAGGGTATCAGGCGTTCCATGTTTTTTCCATAGGTTGTTTATTCCCGAAGCTCCTGCAAAGGGTTTTTCCCAAAGAACTGCTGCCAAATTCAACTTTCCGCTTTGTCTACATCAACTTCATCTACATCACATACATCATCTTTATCATCTACATCAATTTCAATCAACTTCATTAAAATCACATACATCATCTACATCAACTTCACCTACAGGTGCTCAACGTCTACATATCTCTTACAAAACTCGTACGCTGTCATTTACACAGGAGTTGTTACACGGGAGTTCTTACACAGGAGTTGTTACCCAGGAGTTCTTACACAGGGCTTCTTACAAAGGAGTTCTTACACTCGAGTTTATACAGGAGTTGCTGCACAGGAGTTGCTGCACAGGAGTTGTTACACAGAAGTTAACTTCCAGGTGATCTACTTGTATCTGAACGCCTACAAAACTCTTATTTCTCAAGTTTTTCTAAATTCTCTGTAGAGGCGACATTCGAATTTGTTTTGGTTGTAGGCAGCACTCTGCGGAGATCGTGCGTGTCGGACGCGCAAGTGTGTGGTGAAATGCGAATTTTCTTGCGCGCGGCGACGAAATGAGGGTCGAGCGTCAAAAACAGGTGTAACCTTGCAATTTTGAAACTTCAGATGCAACCCTTTCGCGCGAAAAGAAGGTCGAAGGTGGGATGAGACGAGATCGGATGAGATGAGAAAAGATCCAACCTTGAAAAGAAATGGCACCGGAATGAAAAGTCAAGAGATTGTTGCTGCGATGCACAGTCTTTGCTCTGCTCTATGTAAGCGCCTCAATTTTGAAACTTCCGCCCCGGCTTGCCCCGTACTTCTTGTATATTCTTATGTAAACACATTGCACACATGAAGGCAATGACATCTAATGACTCCCGCTGACTTCAAGAGCAGGCTGGTTCCACCTGTTTGGCATATGATGCCTTCGAAGCAGTTGATGGGGGAGAAGACCGTGCTTGCCGTGGGCTTGACTCCGCTGACGACAGTGCTTTCCATTACATTTGGCATGATTCGATTGCCGCTCCTTCCTTGTCAGACTGCAAGCTGCAATGCATGATTCTTTTTGCGTGCAAAGGCATATCCTTCGATGCTTCAGGCTGCCAGATTTGGACGAGAGACCAAGGCATCCAAGCAAGTATTGCTCTCCCAGGAAGCAAATGCCTTCGTTATGTGCCGTTCACTCCAATAACTCTTCCCGGCAAAGACCAGGCCTGTCTTGGAACCTCTGGGAGCTTTCATGCCTATACCCATCAAGAGATTTCCTCATTGGAGCTTTGCCGCGTGCGCTGCGTTGAGACCCCCGGCTGTACAGCTGTCGACTTTGGTGCTCTGGGCTGCAGAGTTTGGACTGAAGATGTCATTCAGACCGAAGATAGGAAAGGCTCCACGTGCTTGCGATATGGCTCGATGTTCTCGAATGCGTCAGCTTTCAAACCCGTTAATGGCGGGATGGATCGCGCATGCCGTGGAATGAACGCGAGCGACAACTCGGACAGTTACTACGACTTGCTCTGGTCATGGCCAGAGAACTCTTCAATAAGCGCTTGCCAAGACAGATGTGCCAGCGCCTTAGGATGCTTTTACATGCTTTTACCATGTGTTGTATGTATGCTGAAGCATGCAGAAGCTGCTTTCTAACACAAAGCGTCCTGACATGAGATGGTTTCTGTGTTTTGGCACCCAAGTCAGCTTTGCAACTTGAAGGAGAGGTTCACACTATGTGAGTTTTGATGGGATCGTAAGAGAGTAACTGATTTCATGGCATGCTTGAAGATAGCAAACTTTACTGGAATCGAAATGCATTGTTTTTGTATGTTTTTGTTCTGAGAAACAATCAACTAGCGCAAACATGCGCAAAATGTGAATTGAGTCATTGAGGTTCGTACGCCAGGGTGCCAAGGCATTGAATTTCGAGAGGGCGGCTGCGAAGTTTGGCTGGTGAAGATTGAGAGTTTCGTTTTCGCTGGGGGACGGACCTGCATGCGTTACGAACCTTTTCAATCATTGGATGGTTTTGACAATCGTGTCTGCCGAGGAAGCAACCTTACTGACTCGATGGAAAGTTATTATTCTTTGAAGTCGCCAGATGAAACACCAACTTTCGAGTCGTGTCAAAACCTTTGCGTTGCAACTCCAGCTTGTAAAGGTGTCGAATATCGTGCCAATGGATGGTGTGAGATTTGGACCAGACCTGATGGCATCAGTGCAGTGGCTCCATCTTTAGGCGCTTCATGTTTGCGCTACGAGCCGTTCGTCTTTGTTGATGGTGGGGTAAACCGAGCATGTCGAGGCGCCAGTGTTTCTGACAATTGGCAAAGCTATTACAACCTCGTTTCCTCAGACTCCTCTGCCAACACCTTCCTTTCCCTTGCTGAATGCAAGAGTACCTCAGCTGAGCAGTGATTCTTAGTTTCTGTGAATGGTGGGGCTTAATGTATTGGAGTGGAAACGATTAAAGGCCGCTTTGTAGTCCGAGTCGTAAAGAATAAGTATCTGTAAGATGGTACAATATGTATAGGTCTATCCCCATCACATGAATAGCCAGTAGAAGAGCAAAAAGCCGCGCGCGCCGATGTTGCCAAAGAGTTTCACGAAGGTCCTCATTATATCCTCAGCGTTGTATTACAAGCGCGCGCAAGCAGCATGATAGTTGCTGGGGGTGTTGTTCCAAAATCCTCCTGCCTTGTCTACATGTCTTGTCTAAGAGTTTGGGTTGTGGGCCCAGATAGCTTGACAAGGATGATAAAATTGCCTAAAACTATTCAATAGAGGCCCAACGGGCTCAACCTAGGCCTGGCCCACCTTGTGGCAGGCGTGGCACTTGGTGACATTCAGTGTCATGTGGCGTGGCAGGCGTGGCACCTGGTGACATCGACGTCCACTTTTGCTTTTTGCACTTGGCGACAGCGATGTGCATTCTGCGTGGCAGGCGTGGCACTTATGGCACTGGGCTGCCTCTGGTGGCGCGCTTGGGTCCCGTTTGGCGCCGTGTTCGCCGCGGCTGTTTGTGTGGCAGGTGTGGCACTTGGTGACATCGACCTGCGCTTTTGCGTGTCAGGCGTGGCACTTAGCGACACAAAGTGATCAAAGTGTCATTTTGCGTGGCAGGAGTGGCACTCGGTGACAACGATGTTGCTTGTTGATGCCATATGCAATCTGGCATTTGATTGCATTCAGTTTGTGACGCCACAAGAGTTTGCAATTCCTGCCTGTGTTCTTCGATGCAGGCACGGGCATGTTTACTTCTCTTAGACTTGCTGCACCTCATGCCGCTCGCCGCTTGTCATGGCGTGAGGCATGTTTTGTGTGTGGCCACACAGCGCACACATACACACATACACACACATACACACACATACACACACACACTAGGTAAGAATGGATCATTGTAGTGATCCGGCAGGAACTGAATCCTGTAACATGCAAATTAGACACAACAGTCGAAAAATGCAGGTACGCATGGCTGATCAGGCCATGTATCACCAGGGAAACCAGAGCGTCTTCGTTGGTGGTAGACTCTGGACCCTGCTACCACCCCCTGCATTATTTGAAAAAGGGAGAAGAGGGAAGAAAAAAGAAGGAAGTTTTACATCTATCCAGGTGTTACATACTGTGGGGTAATGGTAAGTAAAAAGTGTATAAAAGTGTGAATGATGTCATAGTCTTCGCCTGATTTCCTGAGTTGCCTGGCAGTAGAATTTCAGCGGACCCAGATTCGCGATCGAAGAAACAACGCACAGCTCATAAACAAGAACAGAAAGTCAACAGTTGAAACTATAGCAGGTACGTAGATCAGGCGTCCCTGATCTATATCCTTACCACATGTCACCCAGCTTCGTTGGCAGAGGAAGTGACATGGGTACCTCTGCGTTGTATATATATCCCCTGCTTTTTAGAATAGTACAAGAGCAATGAAAAGAACTAAAACCGTTTGTTATAACGGTGTACACACACACATTAGCCCCGAAATGGGGCAAGACCGCAAACCGCCCAGTTTTTACCTAAGAAAACTGACCTAAAGAGCCTGCCTAAGAGAATGAATACCTGGCCTAAAAGAACCTGATGACGATGACGAGTGATGTGAAAAGCAAAAAGTTAAACCGTGTTCAATACGTCGTAAATCCTAACATTTAAGAAAATGCGTATGCAAAAGTTGTACGTTTGAGTTCAAAAAGAAAACGATGCACAAGACTGTACGATAAAGCCTTTCAGCCAAGACCTCATTTGTAATTCCATCTCATCGTCAAGAACAAATAATTGTACAGGTACATTGGCAAGTGGAAATTCTGAGTTCCGAAACTGCAGAATGAGCTTGAGTTGTTGCTGAGCTCTTGACCGAAAAGGTTCCGACAAGTTTCGGCTCAATCTGCATAACAAAATTCCCTGCTTCATCAAAACATGATTGATTCATCAAAACTAAACTGTTTGCTATATAGTAACCTAAGGAGCCTGCCTAAGAGAGTGAATACATAGCCTAAACAGAACCTGATGACGATGATGAGTGATGTGAGAAATAAAACGTTGAACCATGTTCTATACCTAGTAAATCTGACCTAAGGAGCCTGCCTAAGAGAATGAATACATGGCCTCAAAAGAACCTGATGACGATGACGAGTGATGTGAGAAACAAAACGTTGAAACATGTTCTATACCTGGAAAAACAAACCTAAGGAGCCTGCCTAAGAGAATGAATACATGGCCTAAAAAGAACCTGATGACGATGACGAGTGAGGTGAAAATGCTACTGAGACTCCGACCAGACCAAAAGCACTTGTATTGCACCCGTGGTGCTGGGAACTTCGACTTATGTCTGCTTTGTCCGAACTGGACGAAAACTTCTGCCTTATGGCTTCTTCGCCTTATGGCTGCTTCGATTGGATTTTACAGTGTAAAATCTTGACTCCGTCATATGACGCTTGAAATGCACTCGAAGTGCATACGGCTTCGGAGATTCATACTCCACTCGGAATACGGGAAAATGCCCGCTCATGACTTTTTGATTGGTCGAAACCAACCGACGGTGCGACCAAGTCAGGTCAAACACCCAGGACACACTGTGGGGTAATGGTCAGTAAAAAGCGTGAATGATGTCATAGTCTTCGCCTGATTTCCTGAGTTGCCTGGCAGTAGAATTTCAGCGGACCCAGATTCGCGATCGAAGAAACAACGCACAGCTCATAAACAAGAACAGAAAGTCAACAGTTGAAACTATAGCAGGTACGTAGATCAGGCGTCCCTGATCTATATCCTTACCACATGTCACCCAGCTTCGTTGGCAGAGGAAGTGACATGGGTACCTCTGCGTTGTATATATATCCCCTGCTTTTTAGAATAGTACAAGAGCAATGAAAAGAACTAAAACCGTTTGTTATAACGGTGTACACACACACACACCCGGCAGAGCCGGGAAAACCCTGAAAGGCAAGAGGAAGAAAAAAGCGGACACACGACGGGCAGACGGCCAAAAAACAGCGCAAGGGGGGGAGGCGAACAAACGGACCTCCGGAACCAACCTCCACGGCGAAACGGACCTGACCAAAACAGCGCACACACCTAAACCCCACGACACATTACGGAGAGGCACGCGGGGAAAATTAGGGACCAAATGGGGGACTAGTTGATGACAGACAAGAAAACCAAAACAATTAATTAAAAACAGGACTCAGTTCCTAACTACCTGAAAGTCGTGCGTTATTCCCTTGCCGGGACCGTGGTCAAGTCTGCCCCAATTGGCTAAAACGGCTTTCAAGTTCCAGCGAATTAGGTGCACAATATGGTTCAACCACAAAAAGCAAAGAGGACCACACCTGAAAGTCGTGTGCCTGCCTGCAACCTTTCTCATGGTCATGTTTCACCGCAAAAGCTGAAGCTGCAGAGAAAACGAGGTTTCTGATGGTTTCGACCGCTTTCACTCTGATAGAAAGGCAATTTGGCGAGGAACCCTGGGACAGCCGGATCGGCGAGACTTTGTGAAAAGGTGCACAACGGTAAGGCCAACTGTTGCACTTTACTTAGACGAATTACCAGATTAAAATGTGTGAATTCGGTATTCAAGTCAGTCGACACTCACCCCAATCAGGGTTGCCTCACTTGGCCCTATGGCACCATGTCGGAGTCACCATAGGAATCACACTAGATAAGAATGGATCATTGTAGTGATCCGGCAGGAACTGAATCCTGTAATATGCAAATTAGACACAACAGTCGAAAAAGGCAGGTACGCATGGCTGATCGGCTGATCAGGCCATGTATCACCAGGTTGAAACCAGAGCGTATTCGTTGGTGGTAGACTCTGGACCCTGCTACCACCCCCTGCATTATTTGAAAAAGGGAGAAGAGGGAAGAAAAAAGAAGGAAGTTTTACATCTATCCAGATGTTACACACACACATATACACACATACATGCATGCATGCATGCATGCATGCATACATACATACATACATACACAAT